GTCCTGGAAGCCCCTGGAAGCTCGAGGAAGCTCTAGGAAGCCTCTGAAAGGTCCTGGAAGCCTCTGAAAGGTCCTGGAAGCCCCAAAACGCCCCAAGAAGCTCCAGGAAGCCTCTGAAAGGTCCTGGAAGCCTCTGAAAGGTCCTGGAAGCCCCAAAACGGCCCAAGAAGCTCCGGGAAGCCTCAGAAAGGTCCTGGAAGGTCCCGGCAGGCCCCGTCAGGCACCTGTGAGATGTCGAGCTCGCCGTAGTGCTCGTAGCAGCCGTCGGCGTTGTCGCCGCTGGTCCAGTCACCGTAGACGAGGTCGCGCTTCTGCCAGAACAGGGCGGAGCTGGCGTTGAAATCCGTGAAGTGCTCGTGCTCCGAGATGTACACGTACAGATCCTGGGGAAATATGGGAATGGCAGGGGCTGGGAATACCGGGAGAGCCCCCGGAGCAAACGGCTCTCGTGCTCCGAGATGTACACGTACAGATCCTGGGGAAATATGGGAATGGGAGGGGCTGGGAATACCGGGAGAGCCCCCGGAGCAAACGGCTCTCGTGCTCCGAGATGTACACGTACAGATCCTGGGGAAATACGGGAATACCAGGGGCTGGGAATACCGGGAGAGCCCCCGGAGCTCATCCCAGAGGAGGAGAGCCCTGGGAATACCGGGAGACCCCCCGGAGCAAACGGCTCTCGTGCTCCGGGATGGACACGTACAGATCCTGCGGGAATACGGGAATGGGAGGGGCTGGGAATACCGGGAGAGCCCCCGGAGCTCATCCCAGAGGAGGAGAGCCCTGGGAATACCGGGAGATCCCTTGGAGCAAACAGCTCTCATGCTCCGGGATGGACACGTACAGATCCTGCGGGAATATGGGAATGGGAGGGGCTGGGAATACCGGGAGAGCCCCCGGAGCAAACAGCTCTCGTGCTCCAGGATGGACACGTACAGATCCTGGGGAAATATGGGAATGGGAGAGCCCTGGGAATACTGGGAGACCCCCCGGAGCAAAGCCCAGAGGAGGAGAGCCCTGGGAATATCAGGGGAACCCTTGGAGCAAATCCTGGGGAAGGAGAGCCCTGGGAATACCAGGAGAACCCTCGGAGCAAACGGCTCTCGTGCTCCGAGATGTGCACGTACAGATCCTGCGGGAATATGGGAATGGGAGGGGCTGGGAATACCGGGAGACCCCCCGGAGCTCATCCCAGAGGAGGAGAGCCCTGGGAATATCAGGAGAACCCTCGGAGCAAATCCTGGGGAAGGAGAGCCCTGGGAATACCGGAAGATCCCTTGGAATAAACAGCTCTTGTGCTCCGAGATGTACACGTACAGATCCTGGGGAAATATGGGAATGGGAGGGGCTGGGAATACTGGGAGACCCCCCGGAGCTCATCCCAGAGGAGGAGAGCCCTGGGAATACCGGGAGATCCCTTGGAGCAAACAGCTCTCGTGCTCTGGGATGTACATGTACAGATCCTGCGGGAATATGGGAATGGGAGGGGCTGGGAATACCGGGAGACCCCCAGAAATCAAGGAAATCAACCCCAGAAATCAGAGGAAACAACCCCAGAAA